CACGGTTTTTACAAATTGAATGGTTTTTATTTGAACCCACCCCTATCTATATATATATATATATATATATATATATATATATATATATATATAAATATATGTATATATTATGGAATTATTTACAAGAAAACAAGGGATACCTTTTCTGTGAGGTCTTAAACATGGGTTTCTTTGGTGGACAATTGGTGCCATGAGTTCCACTTCCACCAATGGAGTACAAGTCATCTCCTGGAGGGCACAGCCTTAGTTCCAGCCTTGTCTCTTCACAACCTTCTTTGATCATCACCTTCTTCAATTTAGGGTATCCCTCCATTACCACTTTCCAACAAAAGGTGCCCGAAAAAACCCTAAATTTTGTCGGAAATTCCGAAACAAAAAACCGACGTGCGAGATCACAAAATCGTTACTAAAACGATACCCTTAAACTACCCAAAGAAAGATGAACTCAAAAATAGTAGTTGAAATTGAAGGAGGTTTAAAGGTGATGAATGGCAAGAAAGAAGAATACCATCACATGAGATATTTATTTGCTTTTGTGGAAAAGCAAGAAGATGCATATCATGCTTTTAAAGGAACCATAAAAGAGGCTTCCTTAGGGTTAGTGTTTGGAGAGAGATAATATATAATATAAATCATTTATTTATAATTAAAATTTTATAATAATAACGGAATTTTCCGTGTATTATTGATGATTTACGTTAAGTAATTTTGTTCGTCAACATCGTTACAGATAAATTGAAGTTTGTGAAAAACGGTCGGATGTAGAAACCTGAAGGTTAGCGCTCATTTTGTCGTATATAAGTAGCAGATGCTTAGTTTTATATACGATATCTTGAAGGGAAAATTGCATTAAAATGGAACCAACTTTCACCTGATTCCTATTTTGGGAAACCAACTTTCGAAATCGTCATTTACAGGTATCTATCAAACTTTTTGTTTATTTAAAGGTCTGGTTGATGTGTTGAATATATAATAGGTAATTTAAGGGTCTCTATCAAACTTTTGGTTTGATTTGCCAAATTTGATTTAAACTTTAATATTGATACGGATTGGTTAGATATAAAAATCTTGAATATGATATTTAATATTTATTTTTTATTACATCTATTAATTTTTTTTATTAAATTGATTTTTATATCATTAGTAAAAAACAATTTTTATTGTGGTAATTTGAATTTTTTTTGAAACAATCTTCAATTTGAAATGAAAAATAGATTTTATTGTATTACTTTTTGAGAAAAAAACGAATTTTAGTTATTGTTCTATAATTATTTTGCAAGTTGGTTTCCCCAAAATAAGAATAAGGTGCAAGTTGGTTTCCCAAAATGACGATTTTGAAAGTTGGTTCCCCAAAATAGAAATCAGGTAAAAGTTGGCTCCATTTTGATGCAATTTTCCCTATCTTAAAATGAAACTTCTTGCAATTTTTATGAGCATGTAATTTCACGTTCTTGAATTTCTATTGACCTTGACTAAGTAAAACAATAGTCTGCGTCTTCGGTTTTTCAGTTGATTAGTTCAATGAGAAAGAAGGAAGAGTCGTTCTATCGATGGTAGTTCCGCTCAAAGGATTACACAGCTATATAAGTAAAAAAAAAAAAAAAACAGATCCTTGGTCCAATTATAGGACACTCTCAAATTTTAAGCGTCATAATAGACCTTTTTATAGTACTTAATTTATAGGACCAAAAAAATAAAGTATCTTATCTAAAGGCGTTGTAATAAGTTTATATGACGTTTTTTGACGTCCTAATAAGTTTTTTGGGACATTTTTAATATAAAACGTTCCATTATCAACTTTATAGAACACAATTTGAAAAAATATCCTATAAAAACAAGTGTCTTATAAAAAAATGAGCTTATAGGACATTTTCACAAAAGCGTTCTATAAAGTTGTCAATGCGACACTTTGTATTAAAAATGTCCTAAAAAACTTATTAAGACGCCAAAAAGCGTCATATAAACTTATTACAACACCTTTAGATATGACACTTTATATTTTAGTCCTATAAATTAAGTCCTAAACAGCGGTCTATTGGGACGCTTAGAGATTCGGAGTGTCCTATAAACTCAATTTTGTTGTAGTGGTCGTTGCATATATACTTGCCTTCCCTTCTTGCTTGAACCTAAAACTATCGTTTTCTTTCATATCATCCGCTTTCTTTCACCATCACCATCATCATCACAACAATATGATTGTCATCTATGTAGAGAAGCATGGAAGTAACACATAATTAAGTTTAGTGGTGGTTGATTCAAAATTAGGGTTTTATAGAAGAATCAAATCCTATCGACATAAAACAGTGTTGAGATGGAAATCTCTCTTAAATTACTGATTTTTCATTTGATTTAAATCACAAGAAAAGCACCATATATTTAGAACTTAGAGTCATAACATGAACAATACAAAAGCTCATATTTCACTTGACACTCAACTTTCATCTAAAACCTATTGACCCTAAACCCTAAACCCTAAACATATATAACCTTCAATAACCTAACCTTCATTTAGAGTCAATTTTGTACTTATTGAGTTACATCAACATAATTGTCGAGATTAACTGCATCACTCAAGGCTTTCATCCTTGCCTCCGACTATGAAAATAGAACTACATACCAGTCATGGGTCAAGACCAATTACCAGTCATGGGTCAAGACCACCGGGGTGTAGGACACATAGGAGGACCTCAAAGTACGTTTTAACTATATAAATATCCAGGTTTTGGAAGATACCTTCTTACCATAGTCTAAACGAGTAATTTAGGACTCCAAACAAATCTTTACAGCATCTCTAATACAAGCTTTTTCAAATGTATTTTTACTATTTAGAAGATACTTTTAAATGGGTAATTGGCTGCATTGGAGAAGATGGCTGATTGAATACAGACTTGTTTTAACTGGAACCTCCTGGTACTTTTGACATTTGGAGCCAAACTCAAACTAATCAGGCACCACCCTTGTGGTTGAATACAGACTTGTTGTAATAACCTTTTGAAGTTTTACCTTTTTCAAATTTATTTTCATTTTGCCCTCTTTTCTTCGTTAGTTATTAGATACAAAAAAACTTTTGGAACGACTGGTTGCATTGGGGAGGATTTTTAAAAACAAGTTTTTGTTAGATAGAATTAGTGAAAATATAATGTGACAAAAGTAAAAAAGTCATTACATGACTTTTGTATCGTGGATGCTATTATACCACACTTTAGACTGGTTTGGACTTCGAAGACATGTGTTCCATATAAGTTGTCATATTGGACTACTTCAAAATTTTGAATTTATATTTTTTGTTGAACAAAAGAAATATCAAGGGTTTACTCGTACTGTTTCGTAAGAAATACTGATTGTCAAGGTCTAAAGTTGCAACTGAAGATTCCTTTTATCAGTTTGAAGCTGTCTTGGAAGACTTGAAACTGTTATTTGTTGGACTAAATGTTATAGGTTATAGTTTTTGTTCTGCGGCCAACTTATAAAAAGGAAATTTTTGTTTAGCATATTAGACTGTATATAATGTACTAATTTCACTCCATAAGAACTAAAAGTGTTGTTGTATCAACAAAGGGTGGTAGTAGCCCTTCGGGGGTAGCTCAAATGGTCAGGACACAAGTTCGCTATTCAATAGTCATCGGTTCGATCCCCCTCAAATTCGTTTGTGGGTTTTAGGGTTGTTAACTTCAGGTCACATGAGATCAGTTAATATGTGCACCAGCTAAATCATACATCCATTGTTATTAAAAATACGTCATGTAGAAGTAACTGTGATAGAACAAAGCATGGTCCACCCTGCAACATAGTTCTCATACCCATCTAATGTTGTGTGCTCGATACTTGTCCACAGAAACCGAAACTCCCTCAGTTGTTTTTTCTTTCAAAACATTCTCAGTCAGCCAACGTGCGATTCTTGATTGGAGCTTTTGATTTATCACCCGGTTTCACCTTCTAAAGAAAATCAACATGGTCGGCTAATCTAGTTGAGGCATTCTATCGAACACATGTTGTATCCATTTTGAAGATCGTTTTGCACATAAATGCCACAGTTCTGGAAGAAAGTACTATGTCATGTCATGACTGTTATAAGTTAGATCCGAAGAATCTCATCTCAAATCAGTAATATAACACAATACGATCAGTACCCAACTACCCATTAATCATTTACTGGAGTAAGTCAATATTTTGTCCTCCGAAACGCATGCCGTGAAAGTTCGTATAATGAGTGGGTGGGAAGGATGGATGGCTACTTTTGGTATGTTGATACCCATCAAGTCTTCTTTTGGTTCCAATTTGTAGCGTCAAAGGGATCAATAAAGAGGTTCATTGAACATCATTTATGCATATCAAATCACACAAAGTCCTCATCACACTACACCTTTTATTCTTTTGGGCACTCAAGTACTCTCCATGTCTCAAATATATATATATATATATATATATATATATATATATATATATATATATATATATATATCTATATAATTCTTTTCTTTTAATTAAAAAATATTAATTTTTATTTCACTGTAAATAAATTGATCGTACTGATATGGATTCGTAAGGTCTCGCTGTCTTAAATAAAGGGCGTTTTAGGTATTTTATTAGTAGTCGAATATTTTTAGATATTTACTTATTTATCAAATAAAATATTATTATTATTTATTATTATTTTTGAATTTTTTTAAAAATCTATAAGAACCTAATCAATTGATTAAAAATATTTTATATAAGTTGCCGTGAGACTTTTTAGTTAGGGGTTGTTTACCTAAACACTTACTCGATAAGCATTTATCGGTAAAATTCAACGCTATCGCTTACTTACCGGGAAAGATTTTATTCACTAGAATGCATCGTATGCAACAATTTATCCCGGTAAGCACTAACCATGGTAAGAGTCATTGTCCTCATTTACCGGGTAAGACTCGAGATTCTTGCCTTCGCTCTTACCGGGTATGATTCTTAGTTTTTGTCATATTCATCTGGTAAAATAAATTGACTTGATAAACGCTTAATCGGATAAGATTATTTTTAGATAGAGATAATAAATTAATGAATTTCAAGACCAACATCTTGCACTCTTGTGGTGGACCTTATGACCAATCTCTCCATCTCCTTACATTCATTAAACTCACTTGCACTTTTGAATATAACGACACTTTTTGTGTCCTTTCCTTTTTCATTTTAAATTAAAATAAACAATGTTTTAATAATATATTTATCAGTTTTGGATTCATTTTATAGAACCCAAAACTCGTTTTCAAGTTTCTACCAAACTGGTCATCTTTTTCGGCGGTCATATCCGTCGGAAAACAGAGTTTCAGACGGATATGGATGCCGAAAATACCCAGTTTTCTAGAAGTGTTTGGTTCTTATATGTTAGTATAGACTTGTGTTGTAGTTTGATTTGTATGAATTCTTATAAGATTGAAATTTGAATATGAAATAAAATAGTTTGTACAAGATTATAAGTAAGAGTGGATATGGCTGTAAACGAACCGAACGTTCAGCGAACCGTTCGTTTATGTTCGTTTATTTAATAAATGAACGAACATGAAC